AGTGGTATCTCGGGATACGAACGCCTCAGGTCACGAACAATTCGGGTTAAGAACAACAACTTTGAAAAAAAAAAATTTGTGTGGGGTAACGAACAGTGCCTCGGGTTACGAACGAAGGCAAGAGAGAGATAGAGAGAGCAAGGTTTAACGTTGGAGTTAAACGAAGTACAGCATGGCTAAATCAACGATCTCCACTATCATAAAGAACAAAGACTTACTTAAGTCAGTCGATGTGGCTAAAGGAAGGTGCAGAAGCAAAGAGCTCTAATGTTAGTGAAAGTTTAAAATCTTCTCTTGATCTGGTTCAATGAAAAACAACTTGCTGGAGACAGTGTTAGCGAGGCATTAGTATTTGAAGAGGCCAACCTGTTGCTCGGTGATTTATTATCGCAAAACGCTTGGTACAAGTGCTGAGACTGACGACTTTGAAAAAGTTAAAAAAAAAAAAAAAATTGGTACTCATAGTGTCATTAGGCACAGAGAGGCTGCAAGTTCTAACGAGAAAGAAGCAGAAGTGGTCGTCTTCTGGTTTGTCTTCTTGATGTCTTCTGGTCGTCTTCTGGTTGTCTTCTTGCTGTCTTCTGGTCGTCTTCTGGTTGTCTTCTGGTTTGTCTTTTGCTGTCTTCTGGTTGTCTTCTGGTCGTCTTCTTGTTGTCTTCTGGTTTGTCTTCTTGCTGTCTTCTGGTTGTTTTCTGATTGTCTTCTGATTGTCTTCTGATTGTCTTCTGGTTGTCTTCTGGTTGTCTACTGGTTGCCTTCTGGTTGTTTTCTGGTTGTCTACTTGCTGTCTTCTGGTTGTTTTCTGATTGTCTTCTGGTTGTCTTCTGTGCCATGAGATAAGATCACGAAAGAGGAAGACTACTTTCCGCAACAAGTCTTTAATTGCGACGAAACGGGTCTCTTCTTGTTGTCTTCTGGTTGTCTACTGGTTGTCTTCTGTTTGTCTTCTGGTTTTCTTATGGTTTTCTTCTGGTTGCCTTATGGTTGTCTTCTGATTGTCTTCTGGTCGTCTTCTGGTTGTATTCTGGTCGTCTTCTGGTCGTCTTCTGGTTGTCTTCTGGTTGTCTTCTTGCTGTCTTCTTGTTGTCTTCTGGTCGTCTTCTGGTTGTCTTCTGGTCGTCTTCTGGTTGTCTTCTGGTTGTCTTCTTGCTTTCTTTACGGTTGTTCTCTGATTGTCTTCTGGTTGTCTTCTGGTTGTCTACTGGTTGCCTTCTGGTTGTCCTCTAGTTGTCTTCTGGTTGTCTTCTGGTTGTCTTCTTGCTGTCTTCTTGTTGTCTTCTGGTCGTCTTCTGGTTGTCTTCTGGTCGTCTTCTGGTTGTCTTCTGGTTGTCTTTTTGCTGTCTTCTGGTTGTTCTCTTATTGTCTTCTGGTTGTCTTCTGGTTGTCTACTGGTTGCCTTCTGGTTGTCTTCTGGTTGTCTTCTGGTTGTCTTCTGGTTGTCTTCTGGTTGTCTTCTGGTTGTCTTCTGGTTGTTTTCTTTGTCTTTATTTAATACATGAAGTACACGTATTATTTGCGCTACAGATAAACGACCGGATCTTAATAGAAAAGAACGATTCTTTCATCTTGAAACGGATTATCACTATTTCATTGATTTAAATGGTTCGGGTTACGAACGTTTTGGGTTACGAACCGAGTTCTTGAACGAATTAAGTTAGTAACCCGAGGTGCCGCTGTTTACTGAAATAAAAAAAAACATACTAACTTCTATTTGTGCACACACCCATTCATAAACACAAACACACGCACGCACACAAAGAGTAGAGTCTTGTCAGGCTCCAATCTGTATATTAAGTCTTGAAAGTATGTAGGAACATTAGCAGAAAAGAAATGCTAGAAATTACATCATCCAATATCATTCTTCAGACCGCATGGAAAGTTAACAACCTTTTCTCAATCCAGGGAGGGGAGGGTGTGGTACAGCGCTACACATTAAATCGGTGATGTCAATATCACACAAAAAAAAAAAGGGTGGGGGAAGGAGACAAGTGTATGAAGCAAAATTAAATCAACACACATGCAATAACAATGTCTTTTATTTATGTACATAATTTAGTAATTGAAAATTGATTTGAAGCAGAGTTGTTGTTTTTTTGTATCCTTTAAATTAGCTTCGCTTTTGTTCGTGGCTGGGTGGCTGGCTGGCAAAATCTTCGGAGGTTAATTGACCTACTTCCGTCAACCTATCGAGCTGAACCTTGGCACATAGAATCGTTCCTGACGATAATGCATTTTATCAAATTTTCAACCTCACCTCAACCCCCAAAAATCAGCTTTTCGTGTTTTTCAAGGAGGAGATAAGGAAATATGATTTTACGAAATAAAATTCTCGATATGTGCGCTAAATGAGATTCTTTTCTCTTTTTTTTAAAATATCGCTATGTGTTTGGTGCGTAATATTTTCTTTGTTTTTTTTTTTTTTCTAAAATTGTTGGTGAAATAAAGGTGGCTCATTAGAATATCCATAGAGTTCAGGGCCGTGAACAAATAAACGGTTGCAAGCCTTGAGGTAAGGGGGGGGGCACTATTTGGAATTCTTATACAGTGAGAGGGGTAGGGAGGGGGTGGAGGGGGGGTATCCATAGAGTTCAGGGCCGTGAACAAATAAACGGTTGCAAGCCTTGAGGTAAGGGGGGGGGCACTATTTGGAATTCTTATACAGTGAGAGGCGTAGCGAGGGGGTGCAGGGGGGGATATATGTCCCCGGGCGCCAACTAGTTAGGGGCGCCAAAATGTGCTTTGATATTATGTTATTGGTAAAAATAATGTGATTGAGAGTTGAAAAAAGAAAAGGAGACGCTTCAAAATGGATCTTGTCCACGGGGCGCGAGTCTTGTCCCCGGGCGCCAAACACACTCTATACGCCTCTGTGTACAGTGCATTATTTGTGTGCATATTTTGTCAAAGTTTCAGCCCCGCCCCCTCCCCCCGCCGATACCTGGATATTACATTTTATAGAGGTTTGTAAGAAAAACTTGTCTTTAGAGGTGGTTTAATGTTTTTGATGTTCAACATCATGCTGTACAATCTTAAACTTGTCTTTAGAGGTGGTTTAATGTTTTTGATGTCCAACATCATGCTGTACAATCTTAAACTTCTCTTTATCTCAAACAAATTATTTAAAAAATCATTAGTCTGCCTGATCATCCAGACCACGTCACTCGCTTTATTTACACCACATCCTAACTGAGTGCACACGATGTCCTGAACATTACTTTCAGCCATGAAATACAAACATTACATTGAGCCATGAAATACAAACATTACATTGAGCCATGAAATACAAACATTACATTGAGCCATGAAATACAAACACTACATTGAGCCATGAAATACAAACACTACATTGAGCCATGAAATACAAACATTACATTGAGCCATGAAATACAAACATTACATTGAGCCATGAAATACAAACACTACATTGAGCCATGAAATACAAACACTACATTGAGCCATGAAATACAAACACTACATTGAGCCAATGAAATACAAACATTACATTGAGCCATGAAATAAAAACATAACTGTATCCCACTCCAAACCCACACATCCGCCGTATGTCAATTCACCAACGAAAAGACTAGCCTCCATATTTTTTTTTTAAAACACGCCAAATAATTTGGAATGACCCAATTGCTAAAATACCAAACTGTGAATGACCAAATTGCTGAAATACCAGACTATGAATTACCAAATTGCTAAAATACCAGACTATGAATGACCAAATTGCTGAAATACCAAAATGTGAATGACCAAATTGCTGAAATACCAGACTATGAATGACCAAATTGCTGAAATACCAAACTATGAATGACCAAATTGCTGAAATACCAAAATATGAATGACCAAAAGATAAATTATCAAAGGCTTGGACAGCATGGCCAATTTCTTACAATGTCTTTTATTAGAAAAGATAAGAACTTTTTAAAAACAATGTTTGTTAAATTAAGTTCACGAAGTAGCTCTATTGAATAGGGACAGAAATAGAAACCAATGACACGCAATGACATGCAATGACACGCAATGACAGGCAATGACAGGCAATGACAGGCAATGGCACGCAATCTCAGGCAATGACAGGCAATGGCACGCAATGGCAGGCAATGACACGCAATGACACGCAATGACACGCAATGACACGCAATGACACGCAATGACGTAGGCTGTCAATGGCTTTCTTTCTCATTTCAATACGTTAACAGTCTAAAAAATCTATCTTTCCAAAATCTAAAAATGTGACTCCAGTATGTCTAAGGTGACTGTTAAGTTGGGGGTTGTTGTTGTTGTTTTTTCATTTTAAATCTTGACATAATTTATACATAAATGATGATAGAAGTCGATAAAACATGATACCAGTGATATTTGACTGATGACAGACGTCAGTAAAGTATGATACCAGTTCGACATGAATGATGATCAACACTAGTATACATTTTGTCTCGCCATGAGCTCACCGGTGATCGTTGCCAAGTCATATGAATTCACATCCTGGTACACATTGGCCTGTGTACAATGACATGTTTAAGTCCGGTACGGCATTAGGGTTAGGGAGAATTTTATAAGAATTAACAAATAGACATTTCGAACGTAAACTGGAAAATTATCAACAGAAATAGATCAATTTATTCTAAAGAAAAACAGCAACAGTATTTATATTTTTTTAACTCAATATATTAAAATTAAGCAGATGAGCTACATTCTGTGCATAGTCTCTAAAGTGACCATAAAAGTACTTTAACATGACGCTAACATGACTCTAAGAGGACCCCAACATGACTCTAACATGACCTAAACAGGATTCTAGCATTACTCTCACAGGATTCTAACAGAGCTCTAACATGACTCTAGCAACTAAATTTTCCAATGTCATAAAATAAACTTAAACATCAACATTTAAACATTTAGAATAAACTAGAAAATCAAAATGTACTTCCCCATTATCGTTCTGATCAGAAAATAAACCATGTTCCATACCATAATTTGGTTGTTACATACACGTTCACAAAAGGTATTGGGGTATAACAGTATGCACCAGACCTGTACTAGGCTTCATCATGATTTTTCCAAGACGGTATTGGGCTTGAAACATGATTTTACCAAAAGTTTTTGGTCTGTAAGTTTGTTGTTTGTTTGTTTTTATTGGGGGCTGTAGCATGAATTTCCAAAGAGATCTATTATAATGGGTTTAACATGAATTGTCCAAAAGGTATTCGGGTATCACGCTGTAATATAATCAATTAGATCAATAGAGTTCTCACACCAATCACGTGTTTGTTTTATATTTCAGATAAACCATTAACTGCTCAGCTGAAAATCTGTGTGATTCGTCTGCCCTTGGGAAGAAGACAGCAGTTGTTGAAGAGTTCTTGACCTACTAAAAAAAAAAATTCAGCACTTTAATCTGAAGTGTTGCCTGTCGCCAGGAGTTCCGCTGTTGCCGTAAGTTTATCAGAGTTATATTAGCAGAACATACATGATCACTTTTGATACTTGAATAAATAACAACTTGAAGTTTGTTCATAGATGCAAAATTGCCGATAAGCGTAAAAATTATACCATTATCGCTAGAGAAATGATTAGTTCAGCTATTAATAGAATGGTCCCATCCTCTGGATGTAGTCCCACTTTCAGGCTGTAATTCCATTCTCTGATTGTATTCACATTCTCTGACTATAGTCTCATTCTCTGGCTGCAGTCTCACTCTCTGGCTGCAGTCTCACTCTCTGGCTATAGTCTCATTCTCTGAATGTAGTCTAATTCTCTGAATGTAGTATCATTCTCTTGCTGTAGTCTCATTCTCTGGCTGTAGTCCCACTCTCTGGCTGAAGTCCCATTCTCTGACTGTAGTCTCATTCTCTGGCTATAGTCCCATTCTCTGACTGTAGTCTCATTCTCTGGCTATAGTCTCATTCTCTGGCTGTAGTCTTATTCTCTTACTGTAGTCTTATTCTCTGGCTGTAGTCTTATTCTCTTACTGTAGTCTTATTCTCTGGCTGTAGTCTTATTCTCTGGCTGTAGTCTCATTCTCTGGCTGTAGTCTTATTCTCTGGCCGTAGTCTTATTCTCCTACTGTAGTTTAATTCTCTTACTGTAGTCTTATTCTCTTACTGTAGTCTTATTCTCTTACTGTTGTCTTATTCTCTGGCAGTAGTCTTATTCTCTGGCTGTAGTCTCATTCTCTGGCTGTAGTCTCATTCTCTGGCTGTAGTCTCATTCTCTGGCAGTAGTCTCATCCTCTGGCTGTAGTCTTATTCTCTTACTGTAGTCTTATTCTATGGCTGTAGTCTTATTCTCTTAATGTAGTCTTATTCTCTTACTGTAGTCTTATTCTCTTACTCTAGTCTTATTCTCTTACTGTAGTCTTATTCTCTTACCGTGGTACCATTTGTGTTGATTTTTGTAATGGGATTTAGTTACTAAAACACTAACAATGTGTGTAAGTCAACAGTATTAAGCAAGATAACAGTAATACGTAAGTTAACAAATATTTTTAGAGTTAACAGTATCATGAGCATGGTTTGGATTTAGTAATTTGACATTGTAAAAATATAAACGTTGCGGCGACATGCCTTCCTATTTTTCTTTTAATTAATAATTAATAAAATACTTTGTTGCTTTAACAAATTGTTTGTGTTTTAGAATACTTCAGCATTATGTAAAAGCAACTCCGTGATAATTATATGCATTAAAGTAACCGACAACGCTATGGGATGCTGACAAAGACATGTCATTATAGAGACAGAAGGACATCTCTACAACTCCATCAGATGCTGACAAAGACATGTCATTATAGAGACAGAAGGACATCTCTACAACTCCATCGGATGCTGACAAAGACATGTCATTATAGAGACAGAAGGACATCTCTACAACTCCATCGGATGCTGACAAAGACATGTCATTATAGAGACAGAAGGACATCTCTACAACTCCATCAGATGCTGACAAAGACATGTCATTATAGAGACAGAAGGACATCTCTACAACTCCATCGGATGCTGACAAAGACATGCCCTTATAGAGACAGAAGGACATCTCTACAACTCCATCGGATGCTGACAAAGACATGTCATTATAGAGACAGAAGGACATCTCTACAACTCCATCAGATGCTGACAAAGACATGCCATTATAGAGACAGAAGGACATCTCTACAACTCCATCAGATGCTGACAAAGACATGTCATTATAGAGACAGAAGGACATCTCTACAACTCCATCGGATGCTGACAAAGACATGTCATTATAGAGACAGAAGGACATCTCTACAACTCCATCGGATGCTGACATAGACATGTCATTATAGAGACAGAAGGACATCTCTACAACTCCATCGGATGCTGACAAAGACATGTCATTATAGAGACAGAAGGACATCTCTACAACTCCATCGGATGCTGACAAAGACATGCCATTATAGAGACAGAAGGACATCTCTACAACTCCATCGGATGCTGACAAAGACATGTCATTATAGAGACAGAAGGACATCTCTACAACTCCATCGGATGCTGACAAAGACATGTCATTATAGAGACAGAAGGACATCTCTACAACTCCATCGGATGCTGACAAAGACATGTCATTATAGAGACAGAAGGACATCTCTACAACTCCATCGGATGCTGACAAAGACATGTCATTATAGAGACAGAAGGACATCTCTACAACTCCATCGGATGCTGACAAAGACATGTCATTATAGAGACAGAAGGACATCTCTACAACTCCATCGGATGCTGACAAAGACATGTCATTATAGAGACAGAAGGACATCTCTACAACTCCATCGGATGCTGACAAAGACATGTCATTATAGAGACAGAAGGACATCTCTACAACTCCATCGGATGCTGACAAAGACATGTCATTATAGAGACAGAAGGACATCTCTACAACTCCATCGGATGCTGACAAAGACATGTCATTATAGAGACAGAAGGACATCTCTACAACTCCATCGGATGCTGACAAAGACATGTCATTATAGAGACAGAAGGACATCTCTACAACTCCATCGGATGCTGACAAAGACATGTCATTATAGAGACAGAAGGACATCTCTACAACTCCATCGGATGCTGACAAAGACATGTCATTATAGAGACAGAAGGACATCTCTACAACTCCATCGGATGCTGACAAAGACATGTCATTATAGAGACAGAAGGACATCTCTACAACTCCATCGGATGCTGACAAAGACATGCAATTATAGAGACAGAAGGACATCTCTACAACTCCATCGGATGCTGACAAAGACATGTTCTTTATAGAAACAGAAGGACATCTCTACAACTCCATCGGATGCTGACAAAGACATGCCATTATAGAGACAGAAGGACATCTCTACAACTCCATCGGATGCTGACAAAGACATGCCCTTATAGAGGCAGAAGGGCATGTCTACAACTCCATCGGATGCTGACAAAGACATGCCCTTATAGAGGCAGAAGGGCATGTCTACAACTCCATCGGATGCTGACAGCGACATGACCTTATAGATACAGAAGGACATCTCTACAACTCCATCGGATGCTGACAACGGCATGCCCTTATAGCAGTGGTTCTCAACCTTTCTAGTGCCGCGACCCCTTAATACTGTTTCTCGTGTTGTGGCAACCCCAAGCCACACAATTATTTTCGTTGCTTATACTTCATAACTGTAAGGATATATGTTTTCAGATGGTCTTAGGCGACCCCTGGAAAAGGGTCCCGCGACCCTCAAAGGGGTCGCGACCCACAGGTTGAGAACCGCTGCCTTATAGAGACAGAAGGACATACATAGTATGAGTCATACACTCACGACACCACCACTTTACTTTAGCTGCAATGAGTACAAGTTTTCCAGACGCAGGGAGGCATGGTGGAGGCATAGCGGAGGCTTGGTGGAGGCATGGTGGAGGCATAGTGGAGGCATGGTGGTGCCTCACTCTGTACTCACTGCTGCAACTTTCCCCATGCTGTCCATGTCACCACGCAGGGATTCATGGTGGAGGCATGGTGGAGGCATGATGGAGTCCCACTCTGTATTTACCACTTCCACTGTATACATGCTGTCCATGTCAGCTGTTCATCATTCAGTGCCACATGTGATATTACATTTATTAAACTAATGCTATGTGGTATTGTCATGCATTTCTTAATATTTCCCTTCAACATTAACAAAGAACCAATTCATTGAGTAGATATATACAGGGAAAAACGGTTGTTGAGGTTGAGTAGATATGTAGGGTAAAAAACAATTGTTTATTAGATATATAGGGGGAAAACAATTGTTTATTAGATATATAGGGGGAAAACAATTGTTTATTAGATATATAGGGGGAAAACAATTGTTTATTAGATATATAGGGGGAAAACAATTGTTTATTGGATATATAGGGGAAAAACAATTGTTTATTAGATATATAGGGGGAAAACAATTGTTTATTAGATATATAGGGGAAAACTTGTGTGAAACGTTGGTTTGTTCTACTACCATGAATTAGGTGATTAAGATAACGCACAGATCTAACTACTGTTGCAGGGACTCTCAAACTTGTGTGAAACGTTGGTTTGTTCTACTACCATGAATTAGGTGATTAAGATAACGCACAGATCTAACTACTGTTGCAGGGACTCTCAAACTTGTGTGAAAATAAATAATGTTTGAAAAGAGCCGTTCGTGGGATCTTAACGTTTGGTCTAAAATATGGGTGAATCTTAAAGCCACCTTTCAGACCACTAATGAAAAACATATTTTTTCTAGATCTGAAGTCACCGAACATTCTGCTGGGATGTTGTGTTGGACATTTTTACTGTTGACATTGCTGGCGTCAGCCCAAGCAGGTATACTTTTACGTGTTAATTGAGAGATGGTTATCGTTTGAGTTAATGGGTGTAGAATTGTGTCGCAACAAATCAAATTTTATAGAAAAAAAAACATCTATACATTTTTTTTCTCGACCAATGAATACCCAAGCATGTAGCAGTGGTCGCACCAAGCGAGAACTCAGGGGAGCATGGATAGCCACCGTCAGTAACATTGACTGGCCAAAGTCCAGCACCAGGTCAACCAGTCAAAACCAGGCAGATCTAAGGAGTTTACTTGACAAACTGCAAGCTGCTACCATCAACGCGGTCTTCTTCCAAGTAAGTGTTGGACAGACTGAAATAAAAAAAATAAAAAAAATAACGGGTAAATGACGACTCTAGTGCTTCACAAAGTTTGACAGCAGTCTCAAAATTGACATCGCCTTATCATTTTATCTTCTCTCTCTCTCTCTCTCTCTCTCCCCTCTCTCTCTCTCTCTCTCTCTCTCTCAATCTCGACGTATCCACACTTCCAGCCATCCATCCTATGGCCTGTCCATTCACATCCTTTGGTCCATTAATCCAACCATCGTTTGATCTTTTCACTCCATCCATCCATCAGTACTTTATCCATAAATATCAATCGTTGTATCTGCCTGTTTACCCCTTTCCATCTATCAATACCTATATCCATGCATTTATACGCAAATCCCTACAAACATGAATCGATCCATTGATAAGTCCACCCATCCACTTAGCTATCAATTCAACTTTATATCCATCCATTGATCAGATCAATCCATTTATCAGTCTACGCAACCATCAGTCCATCCATCCATCAGTCCATTCATCAATCAGTCCATTTATCAATCAGTCCATTCATCCATCAGTCCATCCATCAACCCATCCATCCACCAACCCATCCATCCGCTCATCCATCCACTCATCGATCAATCAATATATCTGTCCATCCATCCACGTATACATCAAAGCATTGAACTATCTACTCACCATCCATCCATCCTCTCATCCACCCATCCATCAGTCCATTGATCCATATATCCATTAATCAGTCCATCCACCCATTCTCTAATCCATCCATCCACCATTCAATCCACTCATCCACTTATCCACCCATCCATCAGTCCATCCCTCCACCCATCCATTGATGTACTGTCCACAGGTTCGTCCAGCCGGTGACGCCTTCTATCAGTCCAACATTGAGCCATGGAGCCAGTGGTTGACTGGAAGTCAGGGTACAGCCCCAAATCCCATTTGGGATCCTCTGCAATATCTCATCGATGAAGCTCAAAAGAGAAGCATGGAGGTCCACGCGTGGTTTAATCCTTACAGGTAACAGATTAGTCACCTATTCAAATTGACTTTAAGGTTTGAGTTTAAATCTCATTGCGTGAAAACGAGGCAAGAGCGTGAACCAAAAGTATTTCATACTTGAGTCTAAGAGCACTGAGTCAGGTCACATATATTCTGATGAACATATAGTCTTAAAGGAGACTTGACCATACATTAAATTATTCCCAAACGTCTTTCCTCAGGGCAAAGTCTGGCTCCACCTCTACTTCCGGTCTTGCAGCCAATCATATGGCCAGAGCCATCCCAGCCCACGCGCATGCTTACGGTAACAACCTCTGGATGGATCCTGGAAGTAAAGAAGTGCAGGTTGGTAAGGTTTGAGGACCATTAACAGCAAAGACAGAAAACAAGAAGTAAATAAGGAGGGTGTTTACGGTACAATCACTTTAGTATTTCCATCTTGTTGCTGTCTTACATTCTTGTACGTTGTCCTATCTGGGCATATGCCATGTAGTCTCACCACCACCAGCATAGATCTGTGCAAATAGCCTGTAGTCTCACCATCACCAGCATAGATCTGAACATATATCCTGTAGTCTCACCATCACCAGCATAGATCTGAACATATATCCTGTAGTCTCACCACCACCAACCTAGATCTGTGCAAATAGCCTGTAGTCTCACCACCACCAGCATAGATCTGTGCAAATAGCCTGTAGTCTCACCATCACTACCAGCATAGATCTGGACATATATCATGTAGTCTCACCATCACTACCAGCATAGATCTGGACATATATCCTGTAGTCTCACCATCACCACCAGCATAGATCTGTGCAAATAGCCTGTAGTCTCACCATCACCAGCATAGATCTGTGCAAATTGCCTGTAGTCTCACCACCACTAGCTTAGATCTGTGCAAATAGCCTGTAGTCTCACCATCACCAGCATAGATCTGTGCATATTTCCTGTAGTCTCACCATCACTACCAGCATAGATCAGGACATATATCCTGTAGTCTCACCATCACTACCAGCATAGATCTGGACAAATATCCTGTAGTCTCACCATCACCACCAGGATACAAATCAATGTAAACACTTAGCATTGAGACGATGACACAATGACGCAAGAGATGATAACAAGCAAGAGAATGTGATAAAGATAAAGACGAGTAGAGATAGAGGGAGAGAGAGAGAGAGAGAGAGAGAGAGAGAGAGAGAGAGATAGTGAGAGAGGCAGAGATGAGAGAAAGATGAAGGAGGAACTGAGAGAGAGAGAGAGAGAGAGAGAGAGAGAGAGAGAGAGAGAGAGAGAGAGAGAGAGAGAGAGAGAGAGAGAGAAAAAAAAGAAAAAGGAGGAGGAGAGAGAGAGAGAGAGAGAGAGAGAGAGAGAGAGAGAGAGAGAGAGAGAGAGAGAGAGAGAGAGAGAGAGAAAGACATGGAGATGCGATTGCAATAAACTCATCCCTTGTGCAGTGCTCTCTCAAAGTAGGTCATCTAAAAATGACTTTACTTATAGACAACTCATGATTATGATCCGATTGTGTACATCAAGTCGTAGTCTCAAATAAATTTGTTATGAATGTGCTATCATTGCGTACATCGGGCTACAATCTCATATACCCTAGTTATGAATGTAATGTTACTGTGTACATCTCCCCCCCTCCCGTCAATCCCACAGGACAGAGTCACTAACGTCATCCTGGACGTGGTCAAGCGTTATGACATTGACGGTGTCCACATGGACGACTACTTCTACCCCTACCCTACAGCTGATCGTTTTCCTGACACAAGCACGTACAATGCTTACAAGGTGAGTACCCCGGCCATGTGTCAATTGTCAGAATCTCTGAACAAGTAGCATTTTTTAATAGTTCAGACTGAGTGAGACCCGCTGATATATTCTGAAATTGTACCCCAATGCCCAAAATGTTGAATTTATATTATATGAGTTTGATATCACAATCACAATGAGTTGATTATTGCTTGGATGACAGTTGATTGGGTGAAGATTATTTGGCCGATAGTTGATTGTGTGATCATTGTATGGAGGAAAGATGGTTTGAGTTGAATGCTAAGTGAACTCTGGATTTGTTGATGATCGGCTGGATGGCAATCGTTTGGTATTGAATAAAGTCTATTAACTAACCAGTGATTTAGTGAAGGTTGATTGTTTGATGTATGATTGTATGAAAGGTGATTGTTTGATGCATGATTGTATGAAGGTTGATTGTTTGATGCATGATGGCATGAAGGTTGTTTGATGTATGATTGTGTGAAAGGTGATTGTTTGATGCATGATTGTATCAATTTTTTTATTTTTTTGTTTGTTTGGTGCATGATTTTATGAAGGTTGATTTGATCAATTTCGAATAGATAAAAGTTGTTTGAATGATGTTTCCTTAAAAAAAATTTTCATTTTGGTCAAGGTTCATTGGATGATTGAGTGGCTTAACTTTAAGGTTACTGACGACCGGGTGGGCAAAGTTTTTTTTACCTCCACGCTAGTATAAAAAAACATACTCTAAAGCAGTGCTTCCCAACCTGTTTTGTGACATTCCCCAACTAAGCCTTTCTCAAATTCTTATGCCCCCCACCCCCTGCCCATTTATCATATACATATTTTTTTAATATTCCAAACTAGGGTTGTTCACTGAAGAAACGTACATGATTTTACAACACTTTTGACGAACGCTTATTTTAAATTGAGAATTTACAATTCTTCTTTTAAAATACAAGTGAAATCATAGCAGACGATTTGTCTTCAAAATCTAGACAGCTCATTTTTTAATTGCCCCCCCCCCCCAAAAAAATAAACTAGGGTTTTTCACTGAAAAAACGTACATGATTTTACAACACTTTTGACGAACGCTTATTTTAAATTGAAAATTTACAATTCTTTTTTTAAAATACAAGTGAAATCATAGCAGACGATTTGTCTTCAAAATCTAGACAGCTCATTTTTTAATTGCCCCCCCCCCCCAAAAAAAAAAACAACAACAATGAAATTGCCCCCCTCCCCCCGGTGGGGCGTGGGCCCCACGTTGCCACCTTGGGAAACAGGGCTCTAAAGAATGCCCAAAAAGCCACCCCTCAGTATAAATAAAGAGCCCTGAAAGTGACGAACCGCCCCCTCCAACACCCCCACCCCCTCTCAAACCACCACCACAATTCCATGCCACTGCGTTGATTGGTTGAGAGTTGATTTGGCTGTGATTGATTGGTCGAGAGTTGATTTGGCTGTGATTGATTGGTTGAGAGTTGATTTGGCTGTGATTGATTGGTTGAGAGTTGATTTGGCTGGGATTGATTGGTTGAGAGTTGATTTGGCTGTGATTGATTGGTTGAGAGTTGATTTGGCTGTGATTGATTGGTTGAGAGTGTATTTGGCTGTGATTGATTGTTTGAGAGTGGATTTGGCTGTGATCTATTTTTCGAAAGTTGATTTGGCTGTGATTGATTGGTCGAGAGTTGATTTGGGTGTAATTGATTGATTGAGAGTTTATTTGGCTGTGATTGATTGGATGATCGTTGATTGGGATCCGGTCAATATGTCAGTCATGTTTTCTGTGGACCCCTCAGAGTTCTGGTGGGACGTTAGCCCTGGCAGACTGGAGACGTGACAATGTCAACAAACTCATAGAGAGGCTTTCAACAGGGTAAGTTGTCAAGTTAGTCCTGTCAACAAGGTAAGAGGCCAAGTTAATGATGTCAATAATTTGTCAAGTTACTACTGCCAACAAGGTAAGTTGTCAAGTTAGTGCTTTCAATAATTTGTCAAGTTGCTGCTGCCAACAAGGTAAGTTGTCAAGTTAGTGCTGTCAATAGGTTGTCAAGTTAGTGTTTCTAACATGCTCACTTGTTGTTTTACAAGACAAACTGTTTTGGCCAATCTGACAAAGTGTCTAGTCTAATCTGACAAATTGTCTTGTCTAATCTGACAAAGTGTCTTGTCCAATCTGACAAAGTGTCATGTCCAATCTGACAAAGTGTCTTGGCTAATCTGACAAAGTGTCTTGTCTAATCTGCCACCGAGCACATGTCTTGATTTGTCTCATGTCAGTCACTTTTATTGATTTTATACATTCGCCATCGACCTCTTCACGTAAACATTTTGGCAACATCTGCAGCATTCATCAGACTAAAGCGTGGGTCAAGTTTGGCATCAGTCCCTTTGGTATCTGGAAATCTGGCTATCCCACTGGCGTATCTGGTAGGTCAAGGTCGTAGGTGCCATGTTGAATTAAACTTAAATTTTAAGAAATATTTAAAATTTTTATAATCGACATCCATCTGAAATACATCATATGAAATCAAGCAAGCATATGAAATCAAGGGCGTGACCCGTTTCGTTTGTTAATATTGTAGCCACGCCTATGTGCTAAATTGCCTGAAGCATTGTCTCTCGTAACTTGCAGGTATGTCAAGCGTCGATGAAATCTATGCCGACTCCAGGCTATGGCTCCAGAAAGGCTGGCTGGACTACGTGGCCCCACAGCTGTACTGGGTGATAGATGGCCCACAGAGCTTCACCAAGCTGGTGGACTGGTGGTCGGACCCCGCCCAGAACCCACTGCACAAACACATCTACGCAGGATTGGCCGACTACAGGTTCTTAAGTTACTGTCATTTAGTGATAAGGCATAAAAAGTTTCAGCCCTTGAGAGGATGAAGGGAGCCGTTTACGAGCCCCCTTACCCAAGAGGATGAAGGGAGCCGTTTACGAGCCCCCTTACCCAAGAGGATGAAGGGAGCCGTTTACGAGCCCATTTACCCAAGAGGATGAAGGGAGCCGTTTACGAGCCCCCTTACCCAAGAGGATGAAGGGAGCCGTTTACGAACCCCCATACCCAAGAAGATGAANAGAGGATGAAGGGAGCCGTTTACGAGCCCCCTTACCCATGAGGATGAAGGGAGCCGTTTACGAGCCCCCTTACCCACGAGTATGAAGGGAGCCGTTTACGAGCCCATTTACCCAAGAGGATGAAGGGAGCCGTTTACGAGCCCCCTTACCCAAGAGGATGAAGGGAGCCGTTTACGAGCCCCCTTACCCAAGAGGATGAAGGGAACCGTTTACGAGCCCCCTTTCCCAGGAGGATGAAGGGAGCCGTTTAAAATCACACTACGACTTAAAGTAGATGACTTCATATCAATCTCATACATCACATAACAAACAACAAACCACAGAACACCATCAAAAACTTCCCATAAAAGTAAGCATGCATAATATGAAAACAAGGATCTTACATGATAAACAACAAACATCACAAAACAAATCACGTACTTCAAACAATGAAAAGGAATCCTACCTTTTTTAAATAACAAACACGACGTTTGGGTGTACATCGGGGCAAATCTCGTTGCTCTCTGCAGGATCGAGGAGAACAACTGGAGCACGTCCGAGATCGTCCATCAAATCCAACAGGTTCAGATCAGAACCAGTCGTAACGTGTGGGGCGCCGTACATTTTAGTGCTAACGACGTGGAGCTGAGTGCCCATGTAAGTATGACCTACATACATTGACGTGGAGCTGAGTGCCCATGTAAGTATGACCTACATACATTGACGTGAAGCTGAGTGCCCATGTAAGTATGACTTACATACATTGACGTGGAGCTGAGTGCCCATGTAAGTAGGACCTACATACATTGACGTGGAGCTGAGTGCCCATGTAAGTAGGACCTACATACATTGACGTGGAGCTGAGTGCCCATGTAAGTAGGACCTACATACATTGACGTTTACCTTGACCAAATGCCAGCTGGACAAGAGCCCCAGCACACGGCAGACCCAACACACCATAGCCCCGACACACCATAGCCCCGACACACCATAGCCCCGACACACCATAGCCCCGACACACCATAGACCCGACACACCATAGCCCCGACACACCATAGCCCCGACACACCATAGCCACGACACACCATAGCCCCGACACACCATAGCCCCGACACACCATAGCCCCGACACACATCCACTGTGTCTAATTTTGGTAAATAAACATTAAAGAAATTTCTATCTGAGGAGGTAAGCCACAAACGCCCTAGTCATGCCACTGACTACATCATTTAACCACTAGTGCCCTAGTCATGCCACTGACTACATCATTTAACCATTAGTGCCCTAGTTAGGCCACTGACAAGATCCTTTAACCACTTGCGCCCTAGTCATGCCACTGACTACATCATTTAACCGTTTGCGCCCTAGTTAGGCCACTGACTACATCATTTAACCGTTCGCGCCCTAGTTAGGCCACTGACAAGATCCTTTAACCACTAGCGCCCTAGTCATGCCACTGACTACATCATTTAACCGTTTGCGCCCTAGTTAGGCCACTGACTAAATCATTTAACCGTTTGCGCCCTAGTTAGGCCACTGACTACATCATTTAACCGTTCGCGCCCTAGTTAGGCCACTGACTACATCATTTAACCGTTTGCGCCCTAGTTAGGCCACTGACTACATCATTTAACCGTTTGCGCCCTAGTTAGGCCACTGACTACATCATTTAACCGTTCGCGCCCTAGTTAGGCCACTGCCAAGATCCCTTAACCACTAGTGCCCTAGTCATGCCACTGACTACATCCTTTAACCACTAGTGCCTCAGTGATGCCACTAACTATATCATTTAACCATTAGTGCCCTAGACATGCCACTGACTACATCATTTAACCGTTTGCGCCCTAGTTAGGCCACTGACTACATCATTTAACGTTCGCGCCCTAGTTAGGCCACTGACAAGATCCCTTAACCACTAGTGCCCTAGTCATGCCACTGACTACATCCTTTAACCACTAGTGCCTTAGTCATGTCACTAACTATATCATTTAACCATTAGTGCCCTAGACATGCCACTGACTACATCATTTAACCGTTCGCGCCCTAGTTAGGCTATTGACAAGATCCTTTAACCACTAGCGCCCTAGTCATGCCACTGACTACATCCTTTAACCGTTCGCGCCCTAGTTATGCCACTGATTACATCATTTTTGTTTTTTAAAAAAAAATGTTCTAATTTATTGGTTTTGAATTCCTCTACACAGACGTTTCTACAAGATTCAATTTCTTTAGCATAAATTAATGTCAACATTCTGATTCTTCCCTATTTGTGTTGATTTCTCTCTCCTTCGCTTAACGTCCAGGGTCTGACAACTGCTCTCAAATCTAACGTCTACACGGGGCCCACTCTCCCGGCCGTCTACTACTTCAGAGGAGGGGTTACCGCCCCTGCTGCCCCCACCGTGACCGCCAACGGAGGGACGCTGAGCTGGAGCGGAAGTCTGAAAGCGAACGTCCGCTACTGGGCGGTGTACCGCAGCACCTCCAACACATGCGCACTGGTCAAAGTCCTGGACGTGTCCACCACGTCCTACTCTGTGACAGGGTCTGGAGATTATGTGGTGACAGCTGTCAATAGGATTGGCGTTGAGACAGATGGGAATGTCGTGACGGTGACCACTGTCGTTGGATAGGTGATGTGCCGGAATGCTGTACATTTATGACAACTATGTCAATTTATAAATAAATATATGTATAAACAAGTATTCCTTACGTCATGAATTCTAATATTTTTCAGACTACAAAAATGATCACGACCATCACCGTGTTATCTAGACCTCCACCAAACCATTCAACTCTATCCTCTTTTTTTTTTTTTTTTTTTTTTTCTTTTTTTTTTTTTTTTTTATTTTTTAAAATTTTATAATTATTTTTTTTTTTTTTTTTTTTTTTTTTGCTGTTGTTGCTGTTGTTGAACTATTCAAAACTGAACAAGTATTATTTCTGTTATTTTTTTTACTTCTTATATTTATTGCGAACCCTCCAGTTGAATTAACGCTCTATTGCCTGAGTTGTTCACTTAGGAGACTAGATATTTGACGTCTAAATCATTTTCTTTAAAACAAGGCGTAAAATAGAAAAGGGGGTCTGGAAGATTTCTTTTGTTTTAATAGCTCCGGACGCACGCGTTTAGAGAAAAGATGTCTACATAATCTCTAAACACAACTTGTGTGAGAGAAAATGTCTTGACATAATCTCTGGACACATAATATACTTCATTCACTCACCATTCACTCACCATTGATTCACTATTCTACTCAAGTGAATTTGTTAGGTTTGTGTGTATGTGGTGGTGGTGGGTAGGTCAGGAGTGGTGGGGTGATGCTATGTGGTTCATGCATTCAGAACAGGATCACGACGTATGCCTATTTCGTTTTTCAAGTGGGTAAGAGTTTGTGCTCCCAACCCCTCAGCTGTTGTGCAGGGAACAGTTGGAGAGCTGTATTTGTGCATGTGCAGTCAGTTGGTTGTTGTTGGCTGAAATCAACCATCACGTGATGCGATGAAGAGACCTAGAGTAAGTGACTCCCACAATAGGAAATATCAATGATTGGACAAGCCTTAACTCAGCACTTCAATGAAGATGACTGGGCTCCCCTTGACAGGCCGGAAGTGAGCTGTAACTAACTCGTAACATTCCTCGTGTCAACACTTTAGTCGCACGATGCAAGACTGTGGAGTCTCGTGACGTCATGCAGTAGCTTTTGTCTGTTCGACAAAGACTAATAGGGTTAAAAGTCGCATGTTGTTATGGACATTTCCTTGAGTCCATTTAGAGACAACTCGGACATTAGAAAGAAAACCTGCTCCGCTTGGACGTCACAACTCAAATCTCAAGTCCTTAAAATCACCTCACTGAACAGCTGGACAAAAGTTGTTGAGGTTGTCAGAGGAAGAAGACATGGGTCTGATGATCTGGTTGCCACAGATGATGCTGATAGATAATATGAACACCAAAAACAAATTATGATTGTACATAAGAGAAAGTTAAATTCAAAGTAATTCAAAAGAGTTTTTTTTTGTTTTGTTTTTTTTGTTTTTTTTTAAAATATATAAAACATTCATCTCATAGTGTCTCTGAACAGTTCAACCAAAGTTTCTCAACATTTGACATATTCTGCAACCCTTACGAAGCGTATCCGGAAATTTGATCGAAAGAAATTTCGTTTACGGAAATTTTGATCGAACGTAAAATTCACTCGTTAATCTTTTGCTTCAATTGTCTTTTTGAACGAATTATTTTGTTTGACTATATAGTCAAGTGCGTTCGAAAAGAAATGAATTGGAAAAAAAAATTCGACCACAGTTCCGTTCGCACTTCGTGGACGGAAAAAAGATCGAAGGAAAGTTGATCGAACTTTTCGTCAATCTTTTTTTTCCGTCAACGAAATTTCTTTCGATCACATTCCGGTAACCCTTACGGAGTGTTTGCCTTAGTCTCCCACTCCTACATACTTAGTATTCCATTTTTAAATTGAATTTCAAAAACAACTAAAGAATTGTACCCAATAAAATTGTGACTTATTCTATAAAGTAAAAGTGTGTTGAAGAAATGTTTCAACTCTATCAACATTTCAAACATTGCTTGAAAAAAAGTCAATGGCTTTTCTGATCTGAGGATAACTTTTCCTCATACCGCTTGAAATGTAAAACAAGTATTAATACATTAAAACAAAAATCACTCGAAAACCTGAAAAGGAGGATAATTATAAACCAGTTGTTTTCTTTTCAAAACTTATACGACACACTAAAAATAATACACATCTTCTGCGACACACCATTTCGTATTTAAAAGAAAAAAGATTGCATATCAAAAATAAAATAAAATAAAATAAAAAATTATGGATAGCTTAAGTGGGGTTTTTTTCAGAAAAGGTCGACTGGGTTGGAAGGGGGGGGGGTCAGCCAGGGTAAGCCAAGGCTAGCAAAGGTCAGCAGGGGTCAGTCATGGTCAGCCATGATCGGTCAGGAAATCGAAAGGTACAAATAAACAAGAAATGATGATGTTATGTGACATAAAAGATGTGTCTAGAAATTCGTTGAGCTAGAGACAGTGGTAGACTGTAGTGGCCAAGTCATACAGTGGTAGACAGGAGTGGCCAAGTCATACCGTGGTAAACTGGAGTGGCCAAGTCATGCAGAGGTGTCTGGAGTGTCCAAGTCATGCAGAGGTGTCTGGAGTGTCCAAGTCATACAGTGGTAATCTGGAGTGGCCAAGTCATGCAGAGGTGTCTGGAGGGTCCAAGTCATGCAGGGGTGGCTGGAGTGGCCAAGTCATACAATGGTGGCTGGAGTGGCCAAGTCATACAGTGGTA